ACGTCAACCATATACGGCTGCAGGCGCCATTGCTATAAATATATATATACTAGTACCTTGATAGCTACTATATATATATTAGTGTAAGCGTGCAACAGTCGCGCCGCGAAAGCAATGGCGCCGGCAGCGTATATGGTTGGACGTAGGAGTTGACGGAATTTACAGAAACTGTCGGCAATAATACAGGTGAAAGAGAGTATAGAAACATTAAGAATTTGGTAAATAAATAGATTTCGTATTTAGTTAGCATTATATTTTATTGAAACGCGTCAAGTGCCTGTGCATCTACTCAGCACGCACCGATATCCTGTTTACGTATACTGAGGACGCGTCATGATCGTTGCCGCAGCGCTGGTGACGTGACGGCGTGACGTGACGTCACCGATGCGCCGTAGTTTTTATTGGTGTTTCTGGGGCGTTCGCAGCTAATGACTATGATTCTCGGAAGATGCGTCAGCGCTGTGGCTCGCCGCACACGCTGGCACCGAGTAATGATGCAGGTCACCTCACTCACCAGGAGCGAGCAGCGCCGCGTCCGCCTACGCACGCACGCACGCCACGACGCACGCCAGCTATGCGGGAAGGACAAGCGTGGAGGCGTCTTCGTCGCGTGTGTGAATGTATCACGCGCCGCTGTCTCTCCGTATGCGTTGATGGCGTCCATGTACGTGTGTGTGCACGGAGTGTGTACGTGCGCGTGTCCCACACAGTGTGCGTGCGTGCGTGTGGTGTGTGTGTGTGCGTGTGTGTGTCTGTGTGGCTGTGTGCGTATTTGTGTGTGGTTTGTAACTGCGGCCTGTTTATGTCGATACGCGTGCTTGTGCGTATACGTGTGGCGTGATGTGTGTCTGCGTGTGTGCGTACGTGGTGCGTGCGTGTGTGTGTGCGTGTGCGTGGTGTGTGCGTGTATACGTGTGGCGTGATGTGTGTCTGCGTGTGTGCGTACGTGTGTGCGTGCGTGTGTGTGTGCGTGTGCGTGGTGTGTGCGTGTATACGTGTGGCGTGATGTGTGTCTGCGTGTGTGGTACGTGTGTGCGTGGTGTGTGGTGTGTATACGTGTGGCGTGACGTGTGTCTGCGTGTGTGCGTACGTGGTGTGTGTGCGTGTGTGCGTGTGCGTGTATACGTGTGGCGTGACGTGGTGTCTGCGTGCGTGTCTGCGTTGCTGCGTACGTGTCATTTTCGCGTGCGTGCGGCGCGGCGTAGGCAGGAGTTGCCACGAACGTTTTCTTCCGGCACAGCCAGAGCAACAGCCTGTCGCCCGCAACTTCCCCCTCGCCTCCCCCGACACGAAAACATCTGACCTCGCTCTTCATCCGCCTGCAGCTGCTTGAGTATAACATACGGTCGAACGCATGAATGAAAACTCCGCTCTACGTGTGAGCGCAACCACCAGGCAAACGCTCCCACGCAGCCGCGAGAAACACGCGAGAGAGAGGGAGAAGGAGAGAGAGGAGAGGGAGAGAGAAAGAGAGAGAGAGAGAGAGAGGGAGAGAGAGAAAGAGAAGGGAGAGAGAGCGGAGGGGAAGGGGGCGGAAATAGCGTACTCGCAACGCACGTACAACTCACACATGTACAGCTTCTCTTTCTCTCTCGCTCGCTTCATTCTCTCCCCCTCTTTTCCCTCTGCGCTATCTCGCTCTTCCTCCTTCTCTCTCTCTCCCTCATCTCTCTATCATTTTACTCTCTCTTTCTTGGTCTCTTCCTTTCTATGACGTCTCATATATATTATATATATATATATATATATGTGGCGTCTGATGCCTATGTTACAGAGTGATACGCGATCGTTACCGTCGCCGTCCTGTGATGCTACCACGATGCCATATAGTAATTATCATCAGGCGACATGTGACATCGAACAGTTCCATATAACATCGACAGCTGCCATATAAGCATCGAACAGGTCCACATACCATCGAATAGTGCCATATAACATCGAACAGTGCCATATTACATCGACAGTGTCATATAAACATCGAACAGTGCCACTACCATCGAATAAGTGCCATATAACATCGAACAGTGCCATGTAACATCGAACAGTGCCATATAACATCGAACAGTGCCATATAACATCGAAAGCAGTGCCATATAGCATCGAACAGTGCCAATAAATCGAACAGTGCCACGATAACATCGAACAGTGCCATATAGCGCATATACATCGAACAGTCCATATAACATCGAACAGTGCATAAACATCGAACAGCTGTCAGTATAACATCGAACAGGCCACATGAACATGGACAGTGCCACTGGACATGAACAGGCCACTAAACATCAACAGTGCCAGCTGACATGAACAGTGTCATATAACATCTGAACAGTGCCACATACCATCGAATAGTGCGCTATAACATCGAACAGTGCATATAACATCGAACAGTGCATATAACATGGAAACAGTGCGCCATATAACATGGACAGTGCCAGTGAACATGGAACAGTGCCACACATAAATCAAACAGTGCCACGTGACATGGAACAGTGTCATATAACATCGAACAGTGCACATACCATCGAATAGTGGCCACATACCATCGAATAGTGCCATATAACATCGAACAGTACCACATACCATCGAATAGTGCCATATAACATCGAACAGTGCCATATAACATCGAACAGTACCATATAACATCGAACATTGCCACATAACATCGAACAGCCTGCCACATGACATGGACAGTGCCAACGTGACATGGAACAGTGCCACGTGACATGGAACAGTGCCAATAACATGAACAGCTCATTGATCTGACAGTGCCATATATACATGGAACAGTGTCACGTGACATGGAACAGTGCCACGCGACATGAAACAGTGCCATATAACATCGAACAGTGTAACATAACATCAAACAGTGGCATTAGTAACATCGAACAGTGCCATAACAATGGAAACAGTGCATTATAACATCGAACATTGTAACATAACATCGAACAGTGCCATGTAACATCGAACAGTGCCACATAAACATGGAACAGTGCCACGTGCATCGAACAGTGTCATATAAGCATCGAACAGTGTCATATAGCATCGAACAGTGCCATATAGCATCGAACGCTGCCATATAGCATCGAACAGTGTCATATAACATCGACAGTGTCATATAACATCGACAGTGTCATATAGCATCGAACAATGTCATATAACATCGAACAGTGTCACTATAGCATCGAACAGTGGCACGTGACATGGAACAGCACCATATTACATCGAACAGTGCCACATAGCATCGAAGCAGTGTCATATAACATCGAACAGTGGCACGTGACATGGAACAGCACCATATTACATCGAACAGTGCCACATAACATCGAACAGTGCGCATATAACATCGAACAGTGGCACGTGACATGGAACAGCGCCATGGTGAAAAATACATTTCGAATGAGAGGGGCCGTTGAAATGTGAGCATTACAGATTCGGTCCCCACGTCGTGCCCTCTCTCACACCTGCGTTGCGGCACGGTGGTGGTTCACTGTATGACGCATTATACTCTTACACCACTACAACATCCGCAACCAAAACGCGACATCGTCGCCTGAGCCACGCACGAGCGGATCATAAACCACAAACGATAGTTCCTAAAAGTGGCACCGGAAAACAGCGAAACACAACCAATACTATATAACCGCGCTCGCATATATACAATAGCGTCATCGTCTCATAAAACTCGATAGATCAACAACAGCGTGGTGCAATAACACAACAATAATAGTAATGTCTTTTGATTTGGTTACCGATAAAATATACGTAGAAAACTGGCCCGCCACGCGAACACTGTCTACTATACATGTATGAGTATGCTCGGCGTTCGCTGCCCGAGCACACAGGGCGTGTTCTGGAGGGATGAGACCAGCCATGCCCGACCAAAGGCAGAACATCGCGTGAACATGCCGCGGAACCTACCGCCATGCAATAGGCTGTATGAACATGCTATGCAACACCTTTTGGGCACGCCAGTAGGCTGTGTGGCCATAGCTATGCAAACGTTTAGTACACAGCAGACTATATGGCCATGCTGCACAACCTTCTAGCATGCATAGGCTGTGTGGCATGTTATGCAGTCTCGTGGCACGCCCAGTAGGAGGCGTGTACGGCAGTGGGCCTACGTCCCGCTGATCCAGCAATGTCGCACCGCGCTATAGATGAGCCTTCCTTCTTCGATCGCGATGTACATGCATTTATCACACGCGGACGCCTGCCATATAATGCGGTAGCGCGCGGCCTGGTGGCTAGCGTTTGCCTGTTGGTCCATATACGCACTGCGTTTATTCAAATTTGCAAAATAGAAATACCGTCGACTACTCTGGTTATCATACAAGCACCCTTCTTTTGTAGTGGACCTGGCTACTTCACGACATTGTTATCTGGGACAGTTTCGTCTGGTCCTGTCTACAACACATTATATAATATCTATGCAAACGGCAAGTATGAAAATCGGGGGTCAGGGCCGACGCCTCCAAATACTATCAAAACTATAGTCGGGTCAACTGTATTCAGCTATGGCCAGTGACCGTGTACATAAATTCGTTGCTGGCTTGTGAAGCTATCGTACAAAATCTACAACAGGCGATGTATCAAGAATCACAGCAACAGCGGAACAGTATCCGACTCTGTCAGATTCCATATCTTCTACTGCCGACTACTAACAACTAACTCTACGGCGAAATGCGTTTTGCTGAGTATATAAGGCAGTCATCACATCATAAACCGTAACGAAATATATATAATGTGCAAACAATTTGGCTGAATATCACAATAAAGAATACAAAATATAATAATAATTTAGCTGTGTGGGCAGTTGGGCGGTTTCCAATGTACCGCGCATGCCAAACTCAAGTGGTCGTCTGGGCTGACTGACTAAGCAGTCATGTGTGTGTGTGTGTGTGTGTGTGTGTGTGTGTGTGCGTGTGCGTGTGCGTGTGCGTGTGCGCGCGTGCGTGCGGTGTGCGTGCGTGGCGTGCGCGCTGCACGTCGTGTGTGTGTGTGTGTGTGTGTGTGTGTTGTGTGTGTTGTGTGTGTGTGTGGTGTATGTGACGCGGTGTCAACTGAGACCTAGGCACCTGCCTACATATACAGCCTCCGCGACATCTGCAACCGCCAATGTCCTCACTGGGTATATCTGCCACTCCGTACCCACCAGGGGTCGCCCCGCCCGCGTAGCTCCATCACTAAAACTGAAATCGGCAGCCGCACAAGTTGCCGCACACCGTCGCCGGCGGTGGCGCCACCTCGCGGCACTCAAAAACTCCTACATCCTGCGCGGCGCACAGAACTGGCGCCACCTCGTGGTGTGCGACGTCTTCGCCGCCGACAGCGCCACCTACATGCTATAGGGCACGCAGAACTGGTATACGAGACGCTGAGAGCGCTCGGTCTTCTTCATGATGCCCTTCTTGTAGTACTGGCGCAGAGAGCGGCTCAACTTGTCGTAGTTCATAGCCGGCCGGTTCTTCCGCTTGCCCCACAGCTTAGCGCGTGGTACCGTTCACACACGCGACGACGACGCCTCCACGCTTGTCCTTCCCCGCATAGGGCGGACAGGACAGACGAGGGATGCTGCCTTGGGAGGCACAGGAAGAACTGGCCGCGAAGAGCAGAAACGTACTCGCTACCGTTAGCAGACCGAGAGATGTCTGGCCGTCGGGTGCATTAGCGGCCCACATTTGCCCCGTGAAGTCGGACCATTATCACCGTCAGCCCCGATGCGGGCCTCCTATCACAGCCAGCCGACAGCCGTGTCAGCTTTACCTACCATTATCTTCTTACTCTCGCCTTAATTGCGTTTTATTGTCGCTAATCGGCCGTCAAATGGACGCGCCCGCATGGAGAAGGCAGAGAAAGATGAGGAAGATCGCGACCCTCTCCCTCCTCCCTCCCTCCCCACGCGCGCAGTTGTACGCGGCATTTTCGCACCACCACCACCACCACCAGCAGCAGCAGCAGCAGCAGTAGCAGCGCCCCAGCAGCAGCAGCAGCAGCCGTAGCAGCATCCTCGCACCAGCGCCCCAGCAGCAGCACCACCAGCAGCAGCAACAGCAGCAGCATCCTCGCACCAGCGCCCCAGCAGCAGCAGCAGCAGCATCCTCAAACCAGCGCCCCAACAGCAGCAACATCCTCGCACTAGAGCCCCAGCAGCAACAGCAGCAGAAGCAGCAACAGCAGCAGCAGCAGCATCCTCGCACTAGCGCCCCAGCGGCAGCAGCAGCAGCAGCAGCAGCAGCAGCATCCTCGCACCAGCCCCCCAGCAGCAGCAGCAGCAGCAGCATCCTCGCACGAGCACCCCAGCCGCAGCAGCAGCATCAGCAGCAGTAGCAGCATCTTCGCACCAGCGCCCCAGCAGCAGCAGCAGCAGCATCCTCGCACTAGCAGCAGCAGCAGCAGCATCCTCACACCAGCGCCCCAGCAGCAGTAGTAGCAACAGCAGCAACATCCTCGCACTAGAGCCCCAGCAGCAGCAGCAGCAGCAGCAGCAGCAGCATCTTCGCACCAGCGCCCCAGCAACAGCAGCAGCATCTTCGCACCAGCGCCCCAGCAGCAGCAGCAGCAGCATCCTCGCACTAGCAGCAGCAGCAGCAGCATCCTCACATCAGCGCCCCAGCAGCAGTAGTAGCAACAGCAGCAGCATCCTCACATCAGCGCCCCAGCAGCAGTAGTAGCAACAGCAGCAACATCCTCGAACTAGAGCCCCAGCAGCAGCAGCAGCAGCAGTAGTAGCAGCAGCAGCAGCATCCTCGCACCAGCACCCCAGCAGCAGCAGCAGCAGCAGCATCCTCGCACCAGCACCCCAGCAGCAGCAGCAGCAGCAGCAGCAGCAGCAGCATCCTCGCACTAGCAGCAGCAGCATCCTCACACCAACAGAGATCGAATGATAAATAGAAAGAACGATGGGATAGAGAGAAGTAGTATGCATGGGCATCGGAAATAAAGCCAAACGGGCGGTGTTTACCCATGTACACAACGGCGACGATACACTATCATCGTGTCTGATAAGCTAGTCGCTACTGTGCCGTACTGCTGAACAAACATAGAGGGCGGTATACGCGAGCGAGAGGTCGAGTTAATCTCATGAGTTAACGCGTAAACGCCCATGATCTGCTAAATGGCTGGCACTCTGATCCTTTTAGACTGCTACCCTGTCTCTTCACTTCGCTTTTAGACTAGTCGTTAGTCGAAGACTAGACGAAGTAAAAGCGACGTAACGCCAGTCTATAACCCAACCGCGTCCCCGGAATCGAATGTTCGAAACCCGCCCACCTTTCTGCACGCTCTCTCTTCACTTCGTGCATACGCTAATCTAGTGTTTAAAGACACCGGGAAGCAAGGATGCAGCCGCGCGGCTTCCGCCAATGCCCTCTCACCTTTGGGTCTGTCCAGCCACCGGATGGCAGCACCGTACATGAGCGGGTTGCTAAGCAACTCCTTGAGGAACTGCCACAAGTGTATGCTGGTCGTCGACCGCTGCGGCTTCATCGCGCGCTCGTGCAGCACGTCATCGCCGTCGCTAGGCAACGACACGTCACTGCCCTGACTCGGCGACGGCGTCGACCGCCATTGGCTTAGCAGACGCGACATGTCGACGTAACTGCAATCGGAGGCCACGTGACTCGGTCCCTGCGCCAGAGGTGAGGTGGCCCCCTGCGTCTGGGGTGACACAATTTGCCCCGTGGGTGACAAACCTTGCCCCGTGGTTGACACACCCTGCCCCGCGGGTGACACACCCTGGCCCGGTGGTGACTGGCGCTGCCCCGCGGGTGACTGGCGCTGACCGGGAGAAGGGAGTGCTAGCATGGGGTCATGCGCGTGCTGCAACGCCTGGCGGCCAGAGTCACCCGAACAGTGTGGCTGTTGTAGGTGGCGCTGCTGATGCTGATTATGCTGTAGGTGGCGCTGCTGACGGGATGCGTGCGACCGGCAGACTGTAAGGCAGACGAGACGGTATTATTACACAAGACCTCCGGATGAACACGGGGGGGGGGGGGGGAAGCAAGAGTTGTTACGGCCTTTCGTAGATAATCTAAACGGTCCAATAAAATAGTTCTACTCTAAAAATAGTTCACGTAAAATTGAAATGATTGAGTAATCTACCTCTTTGAATTCGTTCGAATTCGACAGGGGGAAGAAATTCAAGTAGAAATAATATAATAACATGGAAGAAATAGAATTGGATTGGCAATTAGTAGCGGCACTGGATTCGCGATCCTTTGAGTAACATTCCAACATGGAGTTATAACTAAAACGCAATGCCTGCTGCAATCCGTAACTAGTTAACTATGGTGGTGTTAAAAGAACTCGCGATTACCGTCCTTCCAGATGTCGAGTTCAGCGTGCAGCGTGACTGCATAGCTCTCCTCCCCAGTATACCGCTTGAACTGCTCCTCGGATAGTTGCGCTAGAGTGGCACCGTTCATGTAGCACAGAGACTGGAACTCGTGATTTGGTATCTGGTAGTGCTGCAGGCTCCAGTCTAACCATTTGCTCACGTCATCCGATGACCACTGCCATGGATCTAGGGTGACGGGATAAACGAATGATGAATAAATCATTGCAGCGACGGTAATTGAGGAGAGGGCAGGTTTACCCCTATCCATTACCCGCACAGTCTTATTTATTGCATCCGATAGCTGCCATCTGCTGGCTTTTACATGAAGATTCTCTCTTCTTTTTCCTCTCCATCGTCTTTAACACTGCCGCGTCCTCTCTCACCCTTCCTCGCCCAACACCATTTCTGCTCGAGCCACCTCTCCCGCTCGATCCCCTTCTTCTTGTCTCGATTCTCGCTCGATTCCCTGTCTTCTTCTCTCTCTCTCTCTCCCCTCTCTCTCTCTCTCTCTCTCTCTCTCTCTCTCTCTCTCTCTCCTACACTCTTTCTTTCACGAGCGCGTTTTCTCCATGCATTGCTCTCAAAACAATATAAAAAGACGAACATAGAAGCGGTACAAGAACGCATTAATTATTTTGCAAATGGCATAAAGTTTTGATGTCGACATAAATAGCAAGTACCCGGTCTGCATAACAATGAGAATTCGGGCCATTAATAAAATCTGGAATATACGATTGCGCGAGGCGGTGCTTTACCCAGTAGCATGTACGAGGGCAAAGGGGAGGACGCGAGAGGTCTCGGTAGCTTCGGGTTTATTTGAAAAGCCCTTTGAATGCCCTTTGAAGGTCGCCTAATGCATGCAAATAGGCATACGACTAGCCGGTTGTGGTCCGGTCTGTATCGTCATGCGAGACTTCTCTCTCGCTCTCTAGCTGAGCCAATTTCTCTCCCCCTCCTCCTCTCCCGCACTCCCAGACCTCTCTTCCGCTATATCCTCATATTTCTTTCCCTCTATTTTGCTCCATTCTCAAGCTCGTTTTTTTATCAGATAAGGGGAAGTTTAGCTCTAGTAACACTGTTGCAACTATGTCACGATGCAACGATGCAACTGCACTGTGAAGCAACACGAGAGCCCGCCCCGTCAGCGGCTGGGCCGATGTGCCCAGTCATGCTTCAGTCATGCGAGTCAAGTCGTCCGTCCTACCACCCGCTCCGCCTCTCCGCCCCCCCCCCTCCCCCGCTACCTGGCATTTGTACCCAAGTTGGTACACTCATCAATATCGTCGGCGTTGCCGAGCCTAATCAACAATGGCTGCGACCGAATGCATGCGATGATCAAACACTACAGGTGCACGAGAGAACGTGCGCGAATTCCACCGCACGTAAATGATAGAGTTTGCCTAGTAGCGCAACAGACAGCAGACACCATATATATCAAGAGTACATAATAGAGACTCTATATCTTACATATATTACCAAGAGGTAATAAGACCTTATCTTGTATTATATATGTATTATTAGCTTTTGATATTACATATATATATATATATATATATATATATATGGAGGATGCTTGCAGGAATTACATGCAGGCTGCGAGTATGACCATCGGATTATCCGTTGATCTAGGCCCCGTTGTCAGAAACAAAACTAGTATTAAAATTATAGTTCCAACATGAACTTTTTTTCGCTTAGACCGCTTACAGAAACATCGTAAAGTTACGAGAATGGGGGAAAAATCCCACCAAAAAATTTCCCCCCAACATAAATTTACGAAGCAAGATTCACCGCCGACGGTCTACACGAGAAAAAAGTCAACGCTAAGACTAATGTTAACATTAATTTTGTTTCCGACAGCGGAGGTACCTCCACGCCGCGGCACGCCGCGCACTGCCTGGCACGCCATTGATTGTTCGACTACATTATATAAGGTCGCCGCAGTGTTAGCTTAGGCAAGGCAAATAGTATCACCACACCGCGAGAGCGCCCATAGTCAACTGGAAGAACAATAGCAGCCGCTCCTCGAGTATCGTAAACAAACTAGACGCTCTTTGCGGAGAGCCGACGGAGAGAGACGGAGAGAGAGGGGGAGGGGGAGCGGGGGGAGTAGGGCGGAGGGGAGGAGGGGGGGGAAGATTTGGCGCAGTCGTCTGAGAAAAGCTGGGTGCGCCGATACTGCTTGAACCTTGAGACGACGCGCGTCCGACGAGCAAAATTCGCAACGGCGACAACACGCACTGCACTGCACGCACGCAGCACGCTACGGCAATGGCACGCACGGCAAGCGCGCGTACAAGCACACACACCACGAACGGCAGAGCGCGTACACACACACACGCACGCACGCACCGCACGCGAACTGCACCACGCACACACGCGCGTGTAGAGAGGAGACGAGAGAGAGAAGAGAGAGAGAGAGAGAGAGAGTAAAGCAGCCCACGCACGCACGCCCGCACATAGACGCCAACACGCGAACAGCTGACACTTAGACTGGTCCTGTCTTTTCATTTATTTAACAGCGTCTATTAACGAAGTGAAGAGACATACAGCTAGGGTGACAGTCTAATCTGATACCCGCAAGAGTAACACACGCCCTGCTAACTACTATAGCATGTAAACATGAAACTTGGTTTCTAAATCACATCGCTACGCACACACCCTTACAACGCGAGTCCAGCGAAGGCAAACTTTAAACTCCAATACGAACAGGTACATAACCCTCATAGCGGAAGTCTCGAATACACGAAATGTTAACCACTCTCCCTCCCGCTCCCTTGTACCGTAGATTTATTCATAATGCTACATAATCTCTGGTGATAAACCGAACAACCAAACGAAAACTAGCTATAGCTCTCGTTAAGTACAAAGCATACAGGCGTAATGATACGCGATGCATAACAAGTGAGCATGTCGGGTAAATCGGCAGCAGCAGCAGCAGCAGACGCCTGCGGCAGCAGGGCTGCAAAGAAACGCGACGATTTCCGAGAAGTTCCGCCGAAATATCGTCTGCATAGCAACATGATGGCAAGGAATCGGGTCAGAAAGCGCCACACGGCCGGTGGACGCCGCATGCGCGTGCCCGCCGCCGTCACGTATTGTTGCGAATTCGCCGTAAAATGTTAACAGGGTGGAGTAACACAGTCATTGAACTGCGCTTGTTCAACAAGTGCCTATATCGCACCTGTTGCCCGCCATATTATATATATAGCTCACTATATATACGTGCTGGGCATACGTATACACGCGTACATGTACCTACGAGCACACAGGCCTAGGTATTTAACTATTGAGCAGCAGCAGCAACAGCAGCAGCAAGCAGTAGTAGTAGCAGCAGCACAGCAGCAGCAGCAGCAGAGTAGTAGTGGTCAGTAATAGTAGAGTACGGCAGGCAGCAACAAAGCACAGCCAGCAACAGCAGAGCAGCAGCAGTAGTAGTAGTAGCAGCAGCAGCAAAGCAGCAGGCAGGAGTAGTAGTGTAGTAGTAGTAGTAGCACAGCAGCGGCACAGCAGGCAGTAGTAGTAGTAGTAGTTTATAGTAGTCAGTGTAGTATAGTATATAGTAGTAGTAGTATAGTAGTAGTAGTAGTAGTATTAGTAGTAGTAGTAGTAGTAGTTAGTAGTAGTAGTAGTAGTAGTATAGCAAGCAGCAGGCAGTAGTAGTAGTCGATCGTAGTAGTAGTCGTAGTAGTAGTATAGCAGCAGCCTGCCGGCAGCGCAGCAGCAGCAGGCAGAAGCAGCAGCAGTAAGCAGTAGCAGTAGCAGTAGCAGCAGCAGTAGCAGTAGCCGTACGCAGTAGCAAGTAAAGCATAGCAGTAGCAGCAGTAGCAGCAGCGAGTAGCAGTAGCAGTACAGTAGCAGTAGTAGCAGCAGCAGCAGGCAGCAGTAGCAGCTAGCAGTAGCAGTAGCAGTAGGGCAGTAGCAGTAGCAGATAGCAGTACAGTAGCAGTAGCAGTAAGCAGTAACATTGTAGCAGTAAGCAGTCGCAGCAGCAGTAGCAGTACGTAGTAGTAGTTATAGTCCGTAGTAGTGAGTAAGTAGTAGTGTAGTAGTAGTAGTAGTAGTAGTAGCAGCAGTAGATACAGTAACAGGTACATAAGAGCAGGCGTAGCAGGAAATGTGAAGCGCAGTAGCAGTAGACCAGGAGGCGGTTTGAACGCCTGCAGGAGGAGCTGGATCAGGCGCGGAGGAAATGGCGCGTGCATCAAGCGCGATGATTTGCGCGCGTCAACGAGGCGGCCGAGGGAGCCGCCGAGCAAGGTCGCGCCGAAATGCGCCACCGAGCAGCATGGGCCAGGTATAGTAAGTAAGGAAATAGTACAGTTTAGTCAGTTGTCAGTAAGTAGT